CTTAGAGCTCCGGTGTTAACATGAACGATCTCTATCGTGGTGTCACCATGGAGGGATTTCTTTATTTGAAGGGGTTCATTTTTCAGAGGGATACACAGTGAGGGTATCGTGATTTTAGTAATTACATGTTTATAAGAGATTTTCTGTTGTCCTTCCATGGAAGCGGGCAGCATCCAGACGGAAATAAAACACTTTTTAATATAAGTTGCTGCTTTGACATGATCACAGAACTGCCAAAACATATGTACAAAAATCCTCAACATAAAATATTAGAAAATCAGACACCAGACAAAGTGAATCACAGCAACGTCATCAGCCGGTGTAACGCTGAACTGATGCGGTGAAGCTACTAGTAGCAGGAGAGAAGCTACAAACACTGAATAGGAGAAGAAGAAGAAGAAGAAGAGCTGCCATGGATACAGTTGCAGCCAGGCACATGTTAGAGACACGATAGAGACACGTTAGGGACACAATAGGGACATGTTGGAGACACGTTAGGGACATGTTAGGGACATGTTAAAGACACGTTAGGGACACGATAGGGACACAATAGGGACATGTTGGAGACACGTTAGGGACATGTTAAGGACATGTTAGAGAGACACGTTAGGGACACATTAGAGACACAATAGAGACACAATGGGAGACGTTTGAGACAGGTTAGGGACACGCTCTATGCTTTACAGGGGAATTAGCTGGTAACCTTGGCAACCGGTAGTTCCTTGGACTTGGACTCGAACAGCGTCTCCAGGCGCGCCGTGTCCACCTCCACCTTGTCCAGCGACGCCCACACCGTCCCGCGGCCGAAGCGACATTTCTGCTGGCTCTCCGCCTGCTTCAGCTCTTTCCAGAACAGCTTCACCGTCTTCTTCTTCGTCAGGCCCGACGGCCCGCCGCTCGGAGGGGGCGGAGCCGAGGGGACCCCACCCGGAGGGAGGGGAGGCGGAGGAGGGGCCCCCAGGAGGGGGGGCGGAGGGGGGGGCGGGGGAGCGGCGCCTCCTGATGGTGGCGGCGGAGGAGCAGGAGGGACGCCTGAGAAATGGGAGGAAGAGGAGGAGTTGGTGTCCATGTCGAGGACGTCAATGTCCTCGTCCTCCAGCAGGTCGGTGAAGTCCAGGTCTTTGATCTTCAGGTCGGCGCCGCTGGGCTGCAGCTGATCCCAGGCGTCCGTCGGACCCACTGAGTTCATGGACTCCTGGCGCCGCGCTGCAGGCTCCGCCCTCACGCCGCTCTGCTGTCGGACCAAACGCTTCTGATGGGAGACGGACACGCGGTCAGCGCACTTCCTCACACAGAACAGCAAAACAGCAATGCATCCTGGGCAGTGATGTCAGCAAGGCACTCCTATGATCAGACTTCAGAAACGCGTTTCCATTTCAAATACAGTGATCAGATTAAAGCTACTCATCCAAATCACAATTTTCTTTTGTAATTAATTTTGTTTCCTCTGTGCGTCTTGAGGAGCGACCGCCGTTCGTCTCCTCCATCGTCCAACATGAACCACGGAGGAGACGCGCATTTTGCTGCCGGAAAAACAGGAACTATTTTGAGTTTCTGTCATCAAGTCTGACTTTTATAAGCGACTTTGAGCTTGTTTTTTCTAAAGTTGCTTGCATTTGCAATGAGCTGCTGATCTGGAAATAAGCAGAGACACAATAAACCTCAGATGTTGACCCACATCAGGTGGTTTCAGTCGGACTCGCCCTGCCCATCATTTCCCAGATGATCCGACCAAATGTGTCTTTGCTCATGTTTAAAACAGGGGTGGAAATTAAAAATGTTCTCTACCAGAGATTCTAACATTCTTGCAATCATTTCCTGTGTTGAACATTTCCACATTTTGGCTACAACTCCCCCAGATAGTATTTACTGAAGATGTGTCTAGTCATTGTAAAACATTTTTAAATGTTATCAGTAGCTGCTTCCTAACTGTCCTATTTGTTGTTCCTTACTTATTACATTTTATATTGAAATTTATTCTTATGACTAAAAATATCTCAAAACATGTTCATCATTAATTCCACGGGCCGTCATCATTCCAGTGTAGTCTGTATTTTATGCCCCCTCCTTCTCATGTCAGCTTCTCTCCCTCCAAGCCTTCATGACAGTAAAACCCTCTGTGACGTTACTGGGTAGTAATTAACATATTGGTTAGTTTGACACATTTTTCTGAATGTCCCTAACGTGTCTCTAATGCAGTGGTCCCAACTACGGCCCGCCTCCACATTTGGACCGGCCCCCTGAACAATGCCAGAGAGCATTTAGATTTTTTTTATATGCCGTCTTTTCTGGACTATAAGCCGCTACTTTCTTCCTAAGCTTTGACCCTTGTGGCTTGTATGTGGATTTTTCTTAAACCACCAGGGGGCTCTTTAGCAGGAAGTGGATCATTGGAAGTCAAAATTGGAAATAAAAGAAGAAAGCGCCTATTAAAATGGAAATAGGTTTTAATAGGGAATTGAAATTTGAGAATGTATGTGATTTATTTTATCGTTTTAGAGTCGAAGGAAAATTTCCACCATCTTAGATTAAATAGTTTCATCTTATTTTTTCCTGTACATAAGACTCTACCAACAAAAAATCTCTCAGAATAATATACATGGCACCATAGAAGTAAAAATGTGAATTTTTACTTGTATGTGTTTAACAACCCTGGTTGTATCAACCAGATTTGTTATTATTCTGTGAACCTAATTCATTTGTTCGTTATTGACTTTTGCTCAATTAAGTTTCTCATGTATAAATTGTAAATGGTATTTTACAATTTGTTTTGTTCCTCCTATAATTGATGGAGATATATAGATAATATTTGTAATTAATAAAGGTCTCGTCTATGTCAATTTAATTAGCTCTAATGGTGTTTTGTTAGAGAATTTATTTTTTACAGCTCCAGTAATCCCAGAATTAATATTAAATAATAAAGACTTAATGGCATTCTGATTAGTAATGTAATTATATTAGTTGTGTTACCACCCCACGCCACTAGAGGCAGTAGAAGTACATAGAAAACTACAGAATTTGCTAAAAACTGTGAGCTGAGCTGAAGTAAATAAAAGAGAGAAATTCAAATACATTCTGAGAGTGAAACTCCTTCCTAAAGGTGAAAATATATCACAGATTTTAAAAGAAAATAGAAACTGGAGACCGCGAATAATATAGGAAATAGCGCCCCCTTCACTTCCAGAGTGCAATGGTCCCATTTCCAAATAAGGTCTGAGACTGACAGCGGTCCGTCCCGCCCCTTCCTGTTTGCTGCAGCGAAGTGAACTTGAAAAAAATGGTGGCCTCCATGGGTGGAAAAATAAACAAAAGAAGAATTTACGAGCTTTTTGGATCATAGAAACAACTTTTATGTCAACAGGAATATTGAAGCAGATTTAGGCCGCCATGGTCAGCCAGTCATAGGTCCGTTTAGAGAACTGATTAGCAGCTGAACTGACCCAGACTGGCTTCGTTGCCTCTCCTCTCACTGGCTGGTTGGTTCTGACCCAACCCGCTTGCTGTCGGTACCTTCTATCTGACCCAGTACCAGTACCTTCTGCTCCTCGGCCAGGCAGGCTCTGGCCGCCTGCGCCGAGCCCTTCAGGCATTCCAGCTCCGCCCTCTGGGGGGCGCTGCTCTCTGCACCGGACTCCAGGGACGGTGAGTTGAAGTTGGACAGTCGCTCTGAAACACAGCCACTAAGATCTTCACCTGGAGGAGAGCAAACAGAGGCGTCACTCTGCTGCAGATTTCTGAGCCTCGGCTGCTGGAAAGGGAAGATGGGCGATGAAAACATGATTTCACATCAGTCTCTCTTTACCGACTAAAACCTGGATCGGCTGCATCCTGGAAACCTGCACATGCTCACCGGGCGTGAAGCTGCCTTCTTCTTCCTTAGCGGAGCCAGACGCAGCATCAGTCGGGCTCGAGGGCACTGCGGCAGGGGAGTTGGAATACATCATGTCCAGAACCAACATGGTGACATCAGACAGGGTGCTGCACTGCCGCTGCACAGGAACCGCTGCAAACATGTTGAGCAGCACCAACATCCATCAGCTGGTCTCCATGACCCAGAGAGCTACACACACACACACACGCACGCACACACACACACACACACACACACACGTGTGCCCACTTGAAGGGACAGTACCGACCTTCTGAAGCCGAGTTCTGGTCATAATCAGAACCGTTAGGAGCTTCTTCCCCACTAACATCAACAGCAGAAGCTAATGCTAAAGTGCTAACTTCAACCATGTTGCTACCCACCATAACTCAATGTGTTATATTGCCCTCCAAAGGCCAAACCTGACATTACACTCCTTCCAGTGCCGCGACGCTTCAGGGAAGGATTCTTTGTGATGGACTTTCATGGTTTCAGTTCAAAGGTTGAGTTTTACTAACTCTGTAGCTGATTAGCATAGTTGACCAGGTAAAGTCAGAATGCTCACGAAATATTTAGGTTTTATGCTGTTTCTTAACAGTCAAGAATCAAAACTTTGAAACAAACATTAAGCTTTATTCAACTGAAGTTTACAAACAGCCAGCTAGATTAGCCTTTCAGAATTCATCTGAAAAAACTCATTTAGCAGAAGCTAAGTTAGCTAAAGGTTCTCAACGTTGGACAAAGCATCACATCAGCATAGAAATGATCAGGACTCCCATCTAGATGTGGGTCTGCGGCAGGCTGCAGGGCATCATGGGAACTGTAGTTTCTCACCTGGATCATTCCGGGAGTCTGAGGGTCCGTTTGTCTCCAAACTGCTGGATGTCGAGGCTGAAGAAACAGAATTAATCCAGATTACTCCCAACTTTCAGACACATCCGTCTGCAGGTCAGAAGCTGAACATGGCAGCTTCAGAACCGGGTCAGACTTACCGGGTCGCTCAGGCGTCGCACAGGCGCTGGGCTCAGGGCATGGATTTATGACATCATCACACAGGGACAGCTGGGGAACGCTCAGGTGTTTATTTCTCCTCTTCTTGTCCCAGTTAGTGGCTGCCAGGCTGCGCAGGAAGGTACCTCTGTGAGAGAAGGAGACCAGGTGGGACCAGGTGAGACCAGGTGGGACCAGGTGGGACCAGGTGGGACCAGGTGGGACTCAAACCAACAGTCTGGATCTAATCAGAGTTTTTATGTTTTGATCGGTTTTCTGAACTGAGCTGAAGGATCTGTGATTTTCCAGTTTCGGATCTCCAGAACCAACACCGGTCCAGTCGGTCCAGAACTCCTCTCAGCTGATCAGGATTCACCTGGTCGCTAACGGAGGAGATGCTAATGAGTTTCAGTCAGGTGGATGAAGGCCTTCATCAGAGTCATCCTCCAGAACCATCTGGACCGGACTCACTCCAGAAGAAACATCAGAAACAGAAAGGAAGCAACCCTGATTATGGTTGCTATGGTGATTCCCTCTGAGGCTGTGGCAGCCCACAGCATCACTCGTCCCAATCAAACCCATTCTCCAGCGAATAGTCAGGTCCAGTTCCTCCAGAACCGATCAGAACCGAGCCTACTTTGCTCTCTGATTGACTGATCTGCTCTGCAGGATCACATGACCTCATGAAGCCCCTTGGATCAAACACCTTGAGCTGCTGGAGTTCAAAGGTCACGCTGTTGGTTTGAGTCCAGAACATGACAGCAAATCAGATTGGACCTTCACTGTAACCGAACCAGAATCAACCAGAATCAACCCGACACTGACTCCAGAACTGACCAGACCCACCACCATCACTCTGATCGGCGCTGTCAGGCTGGACCCAGACGTTCCTGACCCGGTTCTGTTAGTCAGCTCGACTGTCAAACCCGTCAGCATCTCATTATCTGTCATGAGGTTCTGTTGGGTCCAGCTGATCCGATTGGGCAGCTGAACAGAACCTTGCCTCCAGCTGAACGTTTGGACCTTGCCAGCACTCTGCAGCGGCGGTTCTGATTCAGTTAAGGAGTTTCTATTGTTCTGATTGTAACACACACA